GCCAGAATCATGCGTGTCCTAGAATGGCAGAAATGCAGTTTGAAATAGATCAGAATACCCCAAATATATTTTGGTATCCTAAACACTATCTAACACTCAGAATAGGCATGTGATTCACGGGGTATATGCATAATAAATGAGTTTATTTTTAAAGTACTTAGTACAGAGCCTGGCACTCTAATAACTTTATGGTTAAACAATCATAAAGATGTTTACTTATATTTATTAAGCTTATAAAAGGTTTGGGCTTTAAGCGAATGATTAAACATGGAAGAAAATGAATGCATTTCATGTTTAAGGCATACAAATCCTTCGAAACATGCTTTTCTGACTGACAACATGCTGAGGGAACCATATGCTTTTATTTTGTATCCAAAAGGCTGAAACTTTCCGCTTTTGGGTAGGTGACCCCTTGTACCACTTCTCCAATTCCTTCTCTAGTTAAGTCTTTTGAGTCGTGTGGGTTGGAAAGAGATATAAATACCAAATAATAAAACCCATACATCAACTGTAAGTGTATTGTACACTTACAAACTATCTTAGCTTTTGACTTAATCAGTGGGAACATTTATCCCCCTATGGGTGGACAACTCTGATTGAAATATTCTGCAATTAATGTCAGTATACTACCAAGCCACTCTGGGTAGCATTCCTGTGAATAATTTCAGAAGAAAGGGGACTTGCAATCCCATGGGCTGTGAGGCAAGTATTACTTTCATAAAAGAAAAGAAAAAGCCGGCATTATTTTCTTTGGGGCCATTGTTTGGAAGCTGAATGTTTTAATGTAATTGATCTAGGTCTACAAGAAAATTCTTCCAAACAAAGCTATAGTCTTAGTCTCTGCTCTTTTCAAAACCCACATCAAAAGGCTGACTTTGTCTTCTCAAGTGTAAGGTGACCAGACTGGTTCTAACTCATTATACTTTATAATATTGCACCCAGTCTCCCTTACAAATGTGCCAGGATCTAAGTCCACAGCCCATGCATTTTCTTGGGCTTCTTGGCACAAATAGCAAAGAACAAAGCAGCTAAGGGAATTATGGGCTGCAAAACCACAGAAATATCTAGCCCATGATTGAGGGAAAAGCTGGGAAGAAGAAAAATAACAGAAGTGGTGGAGATGTTGCTGGTGGTAATGTGTATTCATTTGCCCCTCACAAATTATAATTTTTCTTTTCATCTGTTAAGGGAAGCTGCAATTACTTCTCTCTGACCCCAATGTAAAACATTCTTCTTCCTATAAGGAATTCTTTCTTGTCTTCTTTTCTCATCCATCTGTTCCCATGTTAAAGACAATTCTTCCCCAGGCTCTTGTCTTTTGTCTCCCTTAAACATAATTCCCCATTCTCACTAGTGTTTACTTTAAAGCCCTTGCCAATGAATATGCTTTATGAAGCTGTCTGTAGACTCTGATGGCATAAAAAATAATCCTCACAACATCTCACTTAACTGTTTTTGTTATTTTAGCTCATTAATTCCACGTCTGAGTGCACTTTTTTTAATAATATAGATTGATCTTTGTTTTCTTTTGTTGTGCTTGGGATCAAACTCAGGGCCATGAGCCACATTCCCAACCTAGGTAGATTTTTCCTTGTAATTCCAGCATGCTATACCATGCTCTGTATGCATTATTTGCTCAGTAAAATTCAGGCTGTGAAAGCAAGACAGGAAGGCTGCATGTTGAATCACTGCCTAGTATACACAGATCTCTCATGGGATAAAGGATGCAATTATTTCCATGGAAACTATAAGTTATTTATGACATGAGCAATTTTCCCTCAGTCTTACCTGAGAAGCAAGGTACCAGGTTATGCTTTAAATTGCTTTACATTCAGGAATACCAGTGGCTCATTGGTTTTTCTATAGACTGCTGAAACTGTTCCCTGATTTCTCTACCTCCACAACAATCTTCACTCAACTTCACCACTCACAAAGGCAAATGTCTATAAAATTTTCTATACAATTTTTATAAATTTCTATAAAGTTCAGTGGGTCCCATTGTTTATAGAAGAAAAGCCCAAATCCTCCAGTGTGATACACAAGGCTCCATTTTCTGTTCTGCAGCAACCTTCCTCTGCATCACTCACCTGCTCTCTCTTCATCCTGACCCAACTCCCCCAGACTAATCTCAGCATCCTCCTTGTCACATTATTTTTAAACTTCCCTTTAGCAGACTTCCTATTGAGAGAGGAACATCTTTCCCACTCCTGTCTTCAGCAGGAAGAGTTTCTCCTAAGCACATCCTCTCAAAACATTCTTTGGCTCTTTACTCAGTTGGCCACCAGGTAAATTTGAGAACAATACCAGGCCTTTTCCTCAGGGCATCCGCCTGCCTAAACTGTTAGATTTTCCCTGCCTTGAGATGGCTTCTGCATAAAACAACAGCCTTCTCCTTCCCATAATGCCCTGCTTCCCATTTAGCATATGGCTTCTTCCACCAAAGGACAACCTTCTTCTTCCCAAAATGCCCCTCTTCCTGCCAAAAGAGTAACCTGGTACTTGCTACCTCCCCAACAACGAGTGATGTCACAGACTCCTCCAATCCCTTACTGCTACATCACTCGGCTTCACCCCAGCTCCTGTAAGAAGCGCTCCCTGTCTTAGCCATATTGCTTTCTCTCCTTTGTTCAGCGACAGCCCGCCAAATCCTCCCCATAATAAAAGCTTGTTATGGATCCGATTTTCGGCTCTTTTGTAACACTAATGACTTCCCAGGCCTTCAGAGGCCCTGCCCAGATGTGCAGAGAGCTGAGGAGGTGAAGGCTCACTGTGGGGGTTCTGCTTGCTTTTTGGTGTTGCCCATCCTATGTGGCCATTGGACCTAAAGCCAGTCTGCCCTTCTGTGCCCTATAAGTAATAAACATGATATTTTGGGTTCTACCCAGTACCACTTTTATTTCTCAGATTGCTTAGGATTTGCACAAAGTTGGGTGCTATTTTATTTTAGCTCCTCAGGGACTCCAACTCAAAGTCTAGTTTAAATGTTTGAGCCCTGTACAATGCTCTCAGACACTGTTAATTTTTTATTCTTTTGTAGTCACATCATTCACTTTTTGCTGCTGTTGTTGTTGCACTGGGGATTAAACCTAGAGCTTCATACATGCCAGGCAAAGAATGTATCACTGAGCTACCCCTATCCCTTTCCTATTTTATGAGACAGGGTTGCACTAAGCTGCCCAGGCTGGCCTGGTAATCACGATCCTCCAGCCTCAGCCTCCCAAGTAGCTGAGATTACAGGAGTGTGCCATGCATCCAAGCCATTGTTCACCTGTTAAAACATGTGCTTTGGCAGTTGTTTTATTCTGCCTTGCTTTGATGAGAGGTTTTTTATTTTTATTTATTTTTCCCTGGTACCAGGGATTGAACTTGAGTCCTTGCACTTGCAAGGCAGGCCACCGAACAGCTGAGCTAAATCCCCGGCCCGATGAGAGTTTTTGTTAGCTTCTTCTGACAGAGACTTCACCTTTCTTAGGTAACATTCTGATATCAGTGCCCCAACACTCAAAGGTAGTTCAAACACTCGTGAATATAGCAAAAATATAACTCAAAATACTTAGGAGAGATCTCTTGGGACTAGTTCAACTGAAGGGACAGGAATATATTGACAGTTACAAAGGGACTGGCTGTCATATGTCAAAACTATTGCCATGTCCAATGGAAGATGGTGATGACAGTCATCTGGAGGGCCCCGAGCTGTCTTCTCACAGGCCTTCACTGTCGGGCCTCAGCAGTGGTCAGAGACTTGCAGCAGGAACTGGTGAGTGCGCCCATGTCACCTCTCCTTCTCGGTAGGTTACACTTGGAGAAACCCAGATTCTCAGGGATTGGATGGTCTATTTGAGTTTGGCTGTGCTGCACTTTAAATGGAAGATTTGATATTTTTCAGAATTGGACCCAGCTTGGGGAACAAAGTGTCTTGGCCCCGGAGAGACAGATGTAAACAAAGGTTTACATTCTTCCCCTCACTGGAAGGATGCCCATGAAGCTATTATTTCCTCTGGCTGAAATGAATAGGAACTATGTGACTGAAATGGAAACTGAATTCTGTTCCCACTGAGGCGATTGATATGCTTTAGCAGCTAAGGTACAATGGGCAAGGATGACCTTCAGTCACGAGAAAGGTCATGAATATAACTATAATTACTTACTGCTGTCATTATACCTAAGACTAAGGAAAGTCGTCATTTTGGATCAGTGATTTTTCTGGATTATTTAGGATGCCATTTTGTGGGTCTAATTTCTCACAGTTGAGAAAATTAATAGTTTTATTTGATCATCTGGGTATATTTATCCAAAGCTTTTTCAAATCTTTGCTGTAACTAAATCCTCACTGGGAAAGGTGGGAAAACCTTCCTTTGGTTTCACATTTCCACGTGGAGGGTGTTTCATTAGCGTGACACAACTAGCCTCTGATTGTCCTTTTCTGCTCTTCTCATGTAAAGCTGAATAACCAATTGGTGTGGCTGTTGCCTCTTGATTGGAGAGGGCTAATGACTAAAAATCCTTCAGCAAGGGGAATTATAATTCTTTTCTACCAGGACCAGTGTTAGTCAATGATTGTGACGCAGAGTTGGGTTATACCGTAATGGATCTCTTTGTGCTCTAATGCTAAGAATTATAATGCCGCCCTTTCTGTTTGTGGTGGTCATTTTGCAGCAGCAGCTAATAAAGTTGAGCCTCTGGTTCTGCTGTATGGGCACCACCTTATTTAGGTGCAAATATGGCTTTTTCTGAAAGACAGTTTGTCTTGAGTTTGTTACAGCTCCTCACAAAGCAACAACTATGGCAACATGTTAAAAAAGCTAATTACAAATGCAACCCAAACCAAGTACTTAGAAATTTCTGGCTTGCAGCGAAGGAATTAGTATACTGATATGCACTGAGACAATTGGGTGAAGGCAGGTTCTCTCTTCCCTAGGAAGAAGAACCTGCCGAGCACCTACCAGATATACAGCACTGAACAGGGCAGAGTCGATATGCTGATTCAATCTACTCATCAACCCCATGGAAGAGGTATTTTTATACCCATTCTACAGGTAAGGACACTAAGGCATTGAGAGTAAATTGAAAATTAACGGACCAGTAATAGTCTGAGCTGGTTTTCAAGCAGAGACATTAGGAAATAACCGAGCACTCGGTACTCAATTGTGTCACATAAAGGGATCATATCATGTATACTCTTAGGACGTATTAGCATCATTGGTAACTGCTCTAGTAGGACAGGTATAAACTGGGACTATTTAATTGAATGAGCCAGGGTGTCTGGTCACTCTACTCATCTCATAAATACAAACTCATTTCTGCTAGTTTTTTTTCTTTTATTGAGTTTATTGGTACATTTTAGGTATACAGTACAGTTACATTCATTATTGGGATCTTGTACCTTTACATGACAGGTCTTGGTTCTCATTTTTTCCCCCTTGTCCATGCATTTCTGCTAGTTTTTAAATCAATTCCAATCCCAGATATTTAAAAATGCGGTGCCTTTGTTCACTGTTTCTTTGTTGCATTATTTCCAGCTTAGAAAGGCCAAGACTCAGTGTTCCCTCTGTGTTTCCTGGGATCCGGTTTCTCCCTCCAGCTAAACCACAGCTGTTCATTGTCAGAGCTATTCTTGTTTCTGGAGACACAGAGGGATGAAACTCCAGGGAAGGATTAGATCATTAAGTAAAGGAAAACAGCAACAGTACAGCAGCACCTGTGAAAATCCTGTATGGGGGTGGGGAACCTATCAGTTGAAAATTTTTCTCATGTTCTAGCATATCTGTGATGGTGCTGGAAATACATCCCTGCTACTTTTCCTTCTTGGAAATAAATGCCTCATTACACTCTATCACTTAAACGCATCCAGTGCCTGAGGATGGGAAATGAGAGAGTCATGGCCGAGGACGTGTGTTGGGTACTTTGGGTCCTTCATCACTGGAGTATTTGGCCTCATTATCCTACTCTGTCATATCTGTGTGAAACAGTTATGGCTTGGCTTTTTCCTGCTGCTGACACTAAAAATGGATTTGAGCAAAATAATAAGTGCTAATTCCATTATCTTGTAAGTAGGCTATTTGAAGGTTATCAGGAAGAAAGTGGCACCTTAAGGTCTGATTCCAATATGCAAAAAGTCTGTTCATTAAAAATTATCACAAGGAGGGGTGTAGATTTCAGATTTTTGGCCCTTCTCATCAGTGTCTGCTCTAGGAAGAAGGCTCTCAATGTTAGCATGTTTTAGAATCAGCTGGGGGAAGCCCCAAAGCACCTTCCTGGACCACGCTCCCATAGTTTCCAGTAGGATCTGAGAATTTGTATTTCCAATGAGTTTCCTGGTCATGCTCTTGCTGCTGGCCCATGAACCACACTTTGAGAATCAGTGCCCTAGCATAAAGCTGCAAGGTTTTTTTTCCTATAAAAAGAAGTGAAATCTAGGATGTATCCCCTGCACCAAATAATAGCCCAACATTCATGGAGGGGTTTTAAAATGACTGTGAATAATATGTTTCCAGATGACTGTTTTAACGTCTAAACCAGACATAAGCAAAACATTTTTTTGTAAAGTGTCACATAAATAACCACTGTCAGCTTTGCAGGCCAAATGCACTTGGTTGCAACTACTCAGTTTTGCAGTTATAGCATGAGAGCGTCCAGAGACTACATTAAGGATGAGCATGGCTACATTTCAATAAAGCTTTTTGTTCAGAACAGATGGCCCAGAGGACTTGGCTGTTGGGCTGCAGATTGCCCACCTTTAAGCCTAACTTATGCGGTAAAAGTGAGTCATAGAAGATGACACCTGTTAGTCTGTTAAACCTGAGTGCCCATGGCCAATGAGAAGGTGATCAAATCGAAAACTGGAAGCCAAGCATTGGCACTCATTTTATTTGTATGTAATTCACACAGAAAGATACACATTCTTGCAATTTAGCCACTAAATCCAGGTATTTGGAACTATGTACGCACTTCAAATCAAATGTGCTGCCACTTACCCCATTTCAGATTTTCTATTTAAAATTGCACTCATTCGTTTATTCATTTATTTGATTTTTGAGACAGGGTCTTGCTATGTAATTCAGGCAGATCTTGAACTCACTGTGTAGCCCAGGCTAGCTTCGAACTCACAGTAATTCTTCTGCCTTGGCCTCCTGAGTGTTGAGATTACAGGCATGTGCCACCACACCTGGCTTACATATATTGGTATATTCTATACTTGGTGCTTTGCCCGAAACTGAAGAATGTATTTAACAATCTTTATTATCCAGAATAATTTACTGGCTTATTGATTAGATTTTCTTTTCTAGTAGTTTTTCTCTACTCCATTAAAAGGATCGTTGAAGTGTCTATCTTGCAGGGTAGGGGGGTTGTGTTGCTGGCCACAGCTGCTAAAAAGCTGAAGTCACCTGAAGATAAACTGTGTGGGTAGATTTTATTAAAAAAAAAAAAAAAGCACCAAAACCTTCCTAACATCCTGAAGTGGAAGAAGAAGAGAAAGGCTAGTGTCTTTGAGTGGGAGACGTGGGACCTGGTGAGCCAGGGAAGAAATTGTACAAGTCAGGGGCAGGCAGATGAAAATCACAACATCCTGATGACCTCTTTGTGGTGTCTTCTCACTTGGCTTGATAACCACAATTAACACCACTGGCTATTTTTTGCTCTTGGAAATAGATTTACCTATTCAGGATCTAGATGGTTCACTCTCTCGGTTTCTCTCTCACTTTACTTGCTGCTCCTTCAATTCCTTTGCTGATTCATCTTTACCTATCTGTGTATGATGCTAGCACTATACCAAGATTCAGTTCTTGGTCCTCTTCTTACCTTGTCTTCCCTACCATGCTACTTAACATCAGGACCCTTCCCTGAATCCCCTGTCCTGCCTTCTCTATTTTAGTTTTCTCTTTATCACTCTCCACCAATATCTTATTTCTATTTATTTTCCGTGTCCTTTGCTCCATATGTGAGCTCCATGTGGGTGGGAATTACCATGTGCACCCTGTCTGAGGGGTACTGTTGTGAAGTCCACCATGGCACGCTGAACCATTGTCCTGATTGCAGTTACAGCAAAGATTCCTTTGGGTCTGTCTGGCCTGGGAGTGCCACAGCTTCCCACTTAAGTGATCAAGCAGGCTCAGTCAATTGGTAGTGGCCTTGGCTGAAGGAAGTTGAGAGGCCCTTTTCCAATTTTCCAAGTACCTGCTAAGATGTGTCAGTAAGAGTAAGAGAGTATTGGTGGGGATGCTTTTCTTAGGATCTTGAGCATCACCCAAAAGTCCATGGGTTAAAAGGCTTGGTCCCCAGGATGGTGCTTTTGGGAAATGGGGAAGCTTTAAGAGGTGAGGCCTAGTGGGAGGTGTTTAGGTTATTTCAGACATTCCCTGCAAGGGGAATATAGGACCTTGGTCTCTTCTTTCTTTCACTTCCTGGCAAGAAAGTGAGCCTTTTCGCTTTGCCATATGCTTTATGATGATATATTATCTCAACTTAGGTCCAAAAATAGCATGACCAGCTGATCATGGACTGTAACCTCTAAAACTATGGCCCAAAATAAAGCATTTGTCCTCATATGCTGATGATTTCAGGTGTTTATAATGGTGAAGGAAAGTTGAGTAAGATGGAGGTGGGTAGGGGGAGAATTCTAATGAAGGTTAAGACTGAACTTACCAAAAACTAGTTGGAAAGAATCTTGGAATTAGACTTGAATTAAGAAAAGTTCAGACAAGGACCTGAATTCAATCCCGTGCCAAAAAAAAAGAAATGTTCTTATTATGTGATATTTCCTACACATCTGAGTTGGTAAAAAACAATTCCTTTTTTGGTTATTTTTGTTGAGTCTGGCTATATGGTCCGGATGGATCTCGAACTTGGTAGTCTAGCTTCAAACTCACGTGCCTCCTTCCTCAGCCTCCTAATTATGAACAATCATGTATAGTCATAGTGACAGTTCTTACTACTTGAATAATGAGAACAATCCAAGAGAACAATGTGAATTTCATTCTATGTATTCCAAGAAACAAGACTTATAGGTGGAAATACAGGGTGAAGTGGGGTTTCTCATCATCCTCTAAATGTTCACATGAGCCTGCCATATTCAGTTTCTGCTTGCTTGACCATCTCTCCCAGGACTTCTTAATAAACCCTAACATACCTCAGAGTCAGTTTATATTTCTTATGTTCTCCTTCTGGGTAGAAAAAAATGCTGCTCATGGAGGGCACGGTGCAGCTTTAATTTGATGACCAGAAAAGCTAGATCTTCAGCCTTCACCTCCTTGTTTTGGCAAAGGTCTACCTGTTTTTTTCACTCTGCCTATTTTCCGCAGGAGTTGCCTATGTCACCCTATGTAGACCTAGAGATGCCAAGGCTTGTTAGAGCCTTTGATTCCTCTGTCTGTGATTCAGGATGTCAGTGTTTGCCTGCTGGATTGGGGCGTGCAGAACTCTGCTTTGCTTTTGAAATCTGGCCTCCAGTGCAGAATGGGGACAGCCTGTGCAGGAAGGGGAAAGGCTGCTTATTAGTTTCAGCCAGGAATACCAAGAGAAAAAAATTAGGCTGTTTGCTTATTGGTTTATTATTAGGGCATAAAAAAAATCTCTCTTTCTTTTTTATTTTTCTCAGGGTTTAGTGATCCTGAGCTCAGGGTTCAACATTAAAACATTTTAATTTGGCTAAAACCCTGACAGCTTTATTAACGACATTCAGGAGCACTATTTCCAGTCATTCATGAAATCTCTATGAATTGCATTTCATTATGACATCCATTAGTTTCAAGGGCCTGAAATGGTCAAATAGTATTGAAGAGATTGACAAATTATAAATGTTAGAAAGGGACTTTGAAGGATCCTATGATATATTTCTTGGCCTAAACCACTTTAAGCAAATTAAAATCACAGCCCACTTTTCTTCAGGACCCTATGGAATGAGATGGTATATCTTCTCTAAATATATCTAACTGTAAAATTGTTGTTTGTGGCAGAAAAGCACTCATTCAGCACAAAATTTCCATTTATTTTATGTTTGTCTAACTTTCTAAAATTAGCCATACATTTCTACTGAGTGGATTGATCCTGATCTAGACTGAAAAAGCAGCCACAGGCAATTATCACTTTAAATAAGTAGGAGAAAAATCAATAGTTTCTTTTTTTCTGTGTAAATAGAAATACTGAAGCCATGATGGTATTGGCTGTTAAAAATATTCTTAGACTATAGTTATAAGATGGACATGATTTAATAATGATCACAATCTAACAGCAATGCAATCAATTCCACAGGCTAAATGCTTTCATGCCCATGAGTCAGAGGCAGTCTTTTCCTGTGCATGCTCCCACTTACTTTTCCTCCTTTCTTGAGTCTATTTCTTTTCTAGCTTTCAATCTAAATCCTCCCATTATATTTCCATCAGACTAGAAACCAAAGCTAAAAGAAGTCCAGGAAAACCAAGTACTGATATTTACAACAGCAATTTATCGAGCAGCTCCTCATATGTGCTGGGTACTCTGCTAAGTTTTCAGGATGATCAGATGGATAAGACATGGACACTGCTCTGCAGGAATTCAGTCTAAGATGACGGCAGATGGAGCAGGCAGAGGGACAGATAATCCCTCTCCCAAAGGAAGCAGTGCTGTGACTGACAAAGGGTTAGACAGGGATATGTAGGAATGTGAGGATCATAGGCAGGATGGAGTCAAAGGACATCTTTGAGAAGAGATTTAGAGAGAACATAGGTTGTGGCCAGGTACGGATGGAGAAGGGAGTTTCAGCAAATACCGGAGAGGGACAAAACCACATCCAGTGGGCCCTGTTATTTAAGAGAAACTGCAAATAACTTGGAATGGGTGGGACAGAAGGTTCACATGGTGTTATGGCAGAAAAAGAAGCTAGAAAAACAACCAATAAAAAATATTCAAGAGCTGTTAGTTCGCAATGCAACAAGGAAGAGATTGGGTCCCATCAAGAAGGTCTCTGTTATCATTTTAGGAATCTATTATATCTGACCAAGCAGAGTGATTTTGCCAATCTTGAGACCAAAATGCCAGTCAAATATTTGCAACCTAAATCTTTCTATTCTGCAAAAGGATGTTTGAGTTCTTCCCTGCATGTAAAAATGCCTAAGGAATCTTATTAGTATGGTAGGCATTTCCCCTGTACAGACTTACATCATTACAAGACAATGTCCTAGTCCCTGAACAAGCAATTCCAATGCGGACCAGTCTCTGCTGAAAAAGACAGAGTTCCTAGCTTGAATAGGAAGAGGGTCTGGTAAGTAAGACACACAAACCCCAAGAGCGGGTTTCACTAAAATGTGTTCTCCCCAAAGTTATTTTGACTTCATGGTCTTCATTGACACACAACTTCCACTCATAAGCATGGCACATTTGTGTCAAGTCATTTCATTAAATGAAGATAGGGCTTGGTTTCAACAGTGGTGTGTTCTTCCTACAAATTAATCTTCAGAGAGAAGACCCTCTAAAAGGAAGAGGAAATTTGGAACAACATAGTTGAGATCATCTGATAAATGGCAAATTACCCCAACTCAGGTGAACTGACAGTGGGTTTAGTACTTAGAATTAATTGGGTATTAGGCCTTTTCCTTGACTGGTTGAGGTTTGAGAAAGCCTGCATGGTGGGTTGAACAGATTAGAGCATGTACACAAGATAACAAGATGTTCTTGATACACCTGTAATCCGCTCAGAGGACTTTTAACTTCCTTTTCAAGTCATGTGGTGTGACCTTGTGGCTGTTAGTCTGTGAGATGGATTAAACCCTTCCCACTTCCTGAGCTCCCTGGCTAAACTTCTACTCTGACTTGCAACATAGGGTTGTTATCCCTCTCAAGGGATCGTTATGGGCTCAAAGATGGAAAACTTCACGTCATGGTTATCCCCATGCATTTGATGAAGGTGCAATGATCAGAAAAGATGCCAGTGATGACAATTGAACGTCCCTTTGCCTTCCCAGCCTCCTTCATATATTCTCAGGCATAGGATGACAAAGGGAAGTCCACGAGTCACATGAAGAAAGACGGTAGCCATGGATACACGATCAGGATCTCCTTTGCTTCCTTCCTCCCTCTTCCCCATCACCTTGCCCATTCCCCCCTCCTGTTTCTCACCATCTTGCCACTAGCCACCATCCTCTTTCCAAAGTCCTATGTGATGATTTATTCCAACCTAACCAGTGCTTTGCCCATGTCTGGCACAGAGGTAGTGCTCAAATGGTTGTTGAATGAAATAATGACCTCCAAGTTTTCCAGTAACATTTCTGGAGAGCCTCTCCTTGAACAAGGTATTTCCTTGCATAGATGAAGAAGCAAGAGCTTTGTGATCACATCAAAACCCTTGTTTGCATCTAGCTGTTTCACTAATGGTATTTAAGGTAAGAGCATAACCTCACTGGGCTGCCATTTTGTCACCTATCAAAAAAAGAAAGGAAGATAATTCCTACCTTGAAGGGTTTTTGAGTGTATGAAAAGAGATAGTGTATGTGAAAAATGCCTCGCACAGCTCCAGGAACAGAAACAAATGCTGATTTCCTGCTAGTAGTATTGGGGCAGTGCTTCCAAGCTTTCTTGCGTGGCATCTTTAAGATGGTGAATAATGACTCACTAATCCCTGATCTGGTTGCATGTCTTAGAAAAATAGCAGTCAGAAGAAATGAAGTTGTTAGGGGTTTTTAAAGGGAAAGAAAGCTGCTGTGGTTAATTTTCTTGGCTGGGGTTTAAGAGGAAGTTCAAGTTGTCCGTTAATTATACTTACCAATTGGATCTAATTGGCAACTACCCCAAAATGAATAAAACAAGCGGGAGTCAAGAGAGAAAAACGGCAGGCATCCTGTCAAAAAATAAAATCTTTGAAATTTCTATAATCCAATGGTCAGATACACACTCAATTAAAGTAGATGGACCATCCAATTTGTATGAATTTCTACGTGTGACCACAGCCCATGTTACACATTCCAACCGAGGCCAAACATTGCAGTCTTTCTTAAAATCAAAATTTAACAGGTTCTTAAAATTAACAACCCTTCACTGCAAGAAGTATCCTTCATTATTTTGTTTCGGCCTAGATAACTACTGCAGTAGGTGAAAGGGTTTTAATGAATTCATGGTAAGTACTTTTACCAATGCTCGGCACTTAGTAAATCCCTAATAAGCATTGGTTGTTACATTAATTACAATGATAATGATGAATCTTTCAGTTTGGGTGTTTTCTAGGACAGGTATTAGATTTACCTTTTAAACATATTTTCTGATTTTCTGAGAAATAAGAATTTTATTCTCAAGTGATTGAGCTGTATGTCACCTAAGAAACTATCCTTTCAGAGATGAGTCTAAATGTTTTCCTTTTTAAAGAGGAATTGAAACAAATGTCAATGTGTCAGTCAACATGAATAACATTATTTACTGAACTTCTTGTCTGTGTTCTGCACTCTTCTGTTTCTTTCATTGGCTAAGATATATTTATGGATATATATTTATTTCATTATTTTTGCAGAAGAAAAACAGTTTCAGTATTATGATTCTTCTGCCTTAAACTGGGAGATGAATTCCATGGTAACATCCTGTCTCTGGAGATGGTAATTTATTGAACAAGCTGGCTTTGGCTAGTTGGCCCAGGCAGCATTTTCTGTTAAATATAGGCCTCGAGGGAGAATCCCACTCATACATTTCTACCTTGTTTTTGTTTCTTTCCATAAATAGCGTTTAAGGATGACCTCAGATCCTCAAGTTAGGTGTTTTGTCCCTGAGTCCCAGGACTAACCTAGACTTTGAAAGCAGGCTCTACCTGGGGCAGTTGTTGAGAGGTAGGGGCTGGGCAGGGTGGTAGCTGCCCTGGTGTGAGAGATGAGGCACCCACAATTCATGGAGCATCTCTTGGTCATTCTTAGCTCTAGCAGAGCTGCCTTCTCATAGGAGTGTACTCACTGGGGAGAGCACAAAGCAGTATCCCTCAGTGAACGTGACATAAGGGTTAATTCCTCTGGGTTCTTCATAGTTCTTATGTTAAAAAACCAAGAACAACCGCTGTTCATTTTCTAGGGTGTTTCTAATTAGCATGTTTCTTGGAACACAACTTCACCTTGCCTAGTACAGACTCTCCAGGCTGCTTTTCCACTGCGTAAGGCAATTAGACCACGTACGAAACAGTGTATGCAAAGCTTCAAATAGTTACCTCGTGATCCCACCCCGGAGCCCTGGAAAATGTTAACACATACATTTGTTGATGAACCTGAGCAAAAATATTGGCTTAGCTGCATCTTTCCTGCAGAGTGAGCAGCACGCTGGTATTTTTAGTTTATTTTTCCCCAAGTTATCAAACCCTAATGAGCAAAAATCTAGTCTCTCTAGTGAAGACCCACCATGATAAGATTAGTGTCAGAGTTAAAAATGAAGATGTCTAGCTAGCAGGTATGCGATCATTGTGTCTGTGGCTATCTCGGTATTTCCGTAATTACCTTTCAGAATATTGCTTTGAAATGAGGCTGATTCCCTAAACACCCTACTTCTGTTGTTGCTCATGTGTGTGGAGAGCTTTTCAAGTATCTGAATTCGTAGGGTCTTATATGCAATAGAGAGTAAACAGCACCTTCTACGCTAAGGTAGTGACATGATGCTGAACAAAGTGTGGCAAACCTAGGGTTTTGCAGGATAGGGTCAGATGGAAGCTCTGCAGCATTAACTCACTGCGTGAATTTTGGGACACTTGACCTTTTTTAAGTGACTTTCCTATTTGCAAAATGAAAGCTATGAGCTAAATGAAGTTATATATAAATATACATACATACTGTCCTCCTGTTTATCTTTTTTTGTTTGTTTGTTTTTTGGTTTTTTGAGATGGTCACACTATGAAGTTGAGACTGACCTGGAATTCACTATGTAGTCCAGGCTGGTCTTGAACTCACAGCAATCCTCCTGCCTCAGCCTCCCAAGGGCTGGGATTAAGGCATGTGCCACTATGCCTGGCCTACCTGCTTATCATTTTGATGCTGTACTCTACTGTAGAATCTCCTGTATATTAACCAGCCAGCAAAAGAGATACAGTGGAACATATATATTTTTCTTATGATTTTAATGATATTTTCTGCAAAGCAACATGTGGTTCTTATTCATATTTGTAGCTGAAATTTTGCTTATGTGGACAGAAGATAAATGATGAAAAGTTTAGAATACATGCAAAAACACTTTCTGCCTGTTGAAAGCTCTTACTTGTTTGCCTTTGAGTCCATTATCTTCATTCTGTCTGTCAAATCTCACTTGAAATTTGTCTACCAGGTATCCACAAATACTCCAACCAGAAATGTTCCTCTGAATGCCTATTGTACCTTATACTACTGAAAGACATTTAGCACTTACTGCTGCATAACTGGCTCTTTGCATAGAGAGAGGCTATAGAACTCAGTGGTATAGATGTGTGTTCAAACAGATTTCAGGTCTGCCATTTGCTAGTAGTCAGATTTTTGTTCTATTACTTGGATTTTTTGTTTCCTTATTGGTAAAACCGGAAAAGTAATGGTACCCACTTCAAGTCTGTTGTAAGATTAAATCAGTTATTCCTTGTCAATTATTTAGAAGAGGACTCAACAAAAACTAGTTATTATTTACTTATTTGTAAAGCTAAGTTTTCAACCCACAGCTAAGCCTTAATTTTGCAACCCCTTTAATGATTTGTACATTACAGGCACACAAACAAATGCTTCTAAAGAAAAATCTCAAAATAAATGCTGTCAAGGAGAAAGAAAGACAACAAGCAACTGCTATTTTAGATGACAGATATTTTGAGTTCTCGTGATTGTCACATTTTGAAAGAGTGAAGAAATTTGACATGCATTTAGCTTTCCTAGGAAGACTCTTTAAAAGTATAGCATGGTACAGAATGTCATGAAGCTTTTCCACAGCAAGCATGTGGACAACAGCCAACAGCTGTTCAAACAACTGTTCAGTGAGCTGCATTATAATGGGGGGAAGAGGCTGAACTATGAGGTTCAGGATCATGATGAAAGGGAAGTGAACAGTTTTAGATTTTACTCATGTTAGGGACATAAATATAGGGCATTTTAAGTCTCCCTGTTGTAAAAATAGGACATTTGATTAAAAGGAAGGATTGGGACTAAATTTAGGCTATTTGTTTTTCATTTAAAACTTTTCTATTCACACATTTACAGTACCTAATGATCACATTCATCGTGGGAAGGTGATAGAATCGCGTACACAACACATCTCAATTCTGTGTACTTCCCTTTCCTCTCCCCTCTCTCCTCCCTCTTTATTTCTTGGTTTCTTTCTCATTTGCAAAAGCTCTTTCCCCAATTTCCTACTCACTATCTATAAGAGAAACCACATGATATTTAAGCTTGTGTTTCTAGTTTGGCCGCTTTATCGTTCACCAACTCCAAAGAAGGAAGATGATTGTGGTTCTGGTGTCAGCCATTATTACACCTAAGTAACAACATGTTTTTACATTGGTCTCATAGTTTTTATGTATATCCTTTACATGTAATTTGAGAATTTTTTCCCCAGTATTGGGGATTGAACTTGGGTCCTTGTGCTTGTGAGGCAGGCGGCAGAACCACTGAGCTAAATACCCAGCCCTGTAATTTGAGAATACTGTTTTTACTGTGTCCTTACCTAGCTCTCTTCCCTCGGGCCTCCTGACTTGATGCTCTCACTTTGCCTCAGGAGTGAAGAATTGCCAGAAGACTGAGGCAGAGGGAAGATGGATCGAGCACGGTTCAGATGCTTCCCTACCCACACAGGTGAGCAACGCTAGGGGTCACCCCAGGGTCCAGAGGAGACGTGGGGCAAAGGGATGAAACAGTGGAGTGAACAATTTGCAGAGCACTAATGTACAATACACAACATGAGGACTGTACTTTATAATGGTATTTCCCATTCAGGAATTTTGCTAAATGAGTGGATTATGGCTACTCTTGTCATGGGTAACTATGTGAGATGAAGGTACGCTAATCTGTTCCACTACAGTGCCACTGTGCTACAGCTGGGTCTTAATATGTTGTGTACCTTAAACATACACAATAAAACGTATTTTTTTTAAAAAAGAATGATATACACTTAAGGGACTAGGTTACTTAACCACATTATGTGGATAGACAGATTTCCTCCAAAGGCTTGCATATTTTTTTTTTATTAAAGCAGTATCTGCTCACTGTAAAAATCAAGAAGTTTTTAAAGGTATAAATTGAAAAGTGTCACTGCCTGTCTTCTCTTTCCTATCTTAAACCTTACTGTAAATACTAATTGTTCACTTGGGTCCTTTTAGATATTTTATAGGCATATAAATAAATATATATATAATTTTAAAATATAATTATACTAAGCATATAGTTGTATTATTGTACAACATATTATTAACTTAAGCAGTGAAGATAATCTTTCCCTCTGTGCCCAAACAGAACTATTACATTATCAGAATGATTTCAGAATATTTTGCTATATATCAATTTGCTTATTGATGAATTATTAGGTTACTTCTATTTTATTATTGTAAAAACATTACAGTAAATGGGTGAAGAATAAACTCCTAGAAATAAACTTGTAGCAGGCCTAAATGATATGCATATTTAAAAGGAAACAGAACTGGAAAAATGGTCTTTTGAATAAAGTTGCCCATATTTACACATTCATTGAAAATGTTGTATTTCCTCCTTTTTTTGCCAATTTGAAAGCCTAAAATATTTCATCATTGAATGAAATTTACTTTTTTCCTTATAATGTCTCTGTTGAAATATTTTGCACATTTTTCTATGAGGCTTTTCACTTTTTTTACTGATTTTTTAGGTTGTCCATATATTATAGAAATTAGCCTTTTGTCATAATTGCTAATATGTTTCATTTGGCCATTTTCTCATGACTTATTCACTGTATTTTCGATAGAAGCTTGGGTTGTGTGAATGGAATATTCCTAAAAACTTATGATTTTGGTATAGGTCAAATATCTCTCACCTAGAGCCTTATTCTAAAACAATCTTCAGTAATTTACAGATCAAAAATGAGGCTTTCCCTGGTATTCCACTTTGAACTGTATTCTACTAACATCTTACTAAGTTATCCCCTGGGCAGTGTCATCTAGGGAGTAGGATCTTTTTGCACCTTTGTCTCTTTTCCCTGGTTAGCTAATAACTGTGTGTAGGATTTCTGTGAGCACAAAGGACTCTGACAGGAAAGTTCTCAGGCTAGAGCACATTTCTGGAATCACTGAGCCTGAAACATAAAACTCAGTGGTGCTACCAAGTTGGAAATTCTGATCTTATTTACGTCGTGAGGTCTGCCCATTAAGCTGGTTGGTGTGTCTCCTCGAATGAAAAACAGACGGGTCAGTTTGAGTCCATTTACGGTTTTCAAATATGTTGAAAGCTCTAATATAGATGATGACTTTGAGCCTCATCCAGCAGAGAGCAGGTTTAAGATTCAGCACAAATGCAGGTGTGATGTTAGAAAGAACTTCCCAATCGCAGGTGATGTTAGAATTTGAAGGACGTGCTGCAGATGACATCAGTCTGTCTGGGCTCAAACACCAAAGCCTTAGAGGTTGTTAAGTATTCTGAATCTCAGCACCATTTCTTAGTGGTGCTGCTTCTACCTGTCTTTGAGTGTGGACATCCTGTAAGTAGGAAGTACTTGGTAGGGATGCCAATGGCATTTGAGCCAGGCAATTCTTCATGAGGAACTGCCCTACCTGTGGCAGAATGTGAACATTCACTTCCGCTCACTGGCAACTTGAACTTTACCAGCTCTGACTCGCCTCAGGCACCGTCATGTGTGTGGTATTCATGTATCATACATCTCAATGGAAAGGGAAATACTTATTCTGCACAAAAACACATAGTTTATTGGAGATAGCATTCTGTCCTCCTGAGCAATGTTGTTGTTATTATTTTTATTTGTGTGGATTAATACACAATCATATGGGGACAAGGTGTGGTGGCTTAGGACAATGGCGGTGAACCTATGGCACGTGTGCCACAGCAAGCTGTTTGTATTCATTGAAAGGTTCGCCATCTCTGGCTTAGGGACTTCATGCTAAAACATATAGTTTTTGTTATGCAGAGATTTCTAGATACCACTATCCTCAAATGCCAAATTTGATTATATTTTATGAATTCTGCAATCATTTCTTCTCCTTGCTTACTCAGAGATAAATGACAAGCCCATTCTAATCTGCTGCTTTAGAAAAAAGTACTCTAGGTAGGTAGCCTCATAAGATGAGGTCATGCTGAAATGTCAGCTGTTACTCTGGGCCAAAGAAAGAACAACATCAAATTATCTTCCAAGCAAACCTTGAAAGTAGCAAAAACATTGATTATGGAAATCTGAAGATACCTAGATACTCCCATCAACTAATATCACAGAATAAGTGTTTTTGTAAGGTCTGCCATGGAGAAATAATCCCTCACATTGGATTTAATTTGATATAAAGTTCTCTTTCAAGTAGGGAGATAGAAAATTCTCGCCTCATAATAGAATTTCCTACACCCAGGCTTGATGTTCAAAATATAATTAGATGTGCAATCCAAATAAAATTTCCATCTGGCCAATCCTAAAATAACGTTCAAATACAAACAACTAACACCTTAATGAAATGGCGCCTGAAAAGAACTTGATTTCTATCTTCTTTTATTTTATTTTTTTTGTGAGGGTGGGTGGATAAAATGGTCAAATATCAGAAGAAAATCTGATACTGGTCCAGATCGAAGTTTTTAACATCTATTATTGGCCAATTCACACTCACCCTGAGTTCTGACACCTGCAGCAAGCAAAATTACTCAACATTACAATTCATGTCTGTGATTATTCTTAGACACTGAAATAGCCTGAATCTCCAAAGAAGGCTTGCATTTTCTTGATTAAGCTCTGTTTACTTAGCTACAGTGTAGAATTTTCATTTTCAATAATATAGAAAAAGTAGAAATTTTCTGGTTGTTGCTTCTGTGACCAAGAAATTACATCAATTACTTTTCAATAAGTAATGTTAAGCCTTCATTTGCCCTTCAGACTCTTTCTGTAACTACTAGCTACTAACTTGTGGCTTCTTCAGAGACACGTCCAGTTTCTAACCCTGTTTTCTTTTAATAAACTTTTTGGACTCTGCTGGGCTTCAGGTGAAAAGACCTGAATCTCGGGTCAGACCTGTGGCAGTAAGGCTGTGTACACATTGTCCGTGGATGCCCATCTGGGACCACCGCACCCCCAAAAGGCAGGAAAGGGAATCAGTAGTTTGGCCACACTTTTGCATGTTGACTCGTTTCATCACAACACTCCAAGGAATTAGCATCCTTTGTTTACAGGAGCGGAAATAAAATTCTAAGAGAAATACAGAACAGAACGGGTGGGTGTACCTACCACTCTGATTTTAAAGCACTCATGATAGACAAGCTCTTCCTCTTCTCCCCAAAGTTATACTCACCCTTCAAACTCTCAAAAGCAAGCCTCAGTTTCTAGGGATTTATCTAACTTTCATTTTTTAAGAACTGCAATGTTAGTATTTGTTTTAAATAATCTTTGGTCAGCTGAGAGTAGAATTTGAGGCTGGAAAGGATGACTATCAAATTTCAGATAAAGTTAAGCATGAAATATTGAGAAAATATTTGTACAACTTTATGGGATATGTTATGGTAACTAGATTATGTATATAATAAGCAAATTAAGATTTATTTTCATCTCTTCCGATCTCATCATTTTTATGTGTCTGGAATTTTATACTTTTCTATTCATTATAAAATACAGGACGTTTTAATTAGTAGTTACCCTACTGTGTGATACAAAACCAGAAATGTGTAATTCCTCCTCTTTGTATTTTGGTGTCCCTCAAATTTTGGTGTCCTGAGTTAAAGAAATATTTTTAAAATCTGGTCTTATGTGTTGCCAACACACATTTCAAAAGATTCTTTGGCATCTACATTTATGGATGAAACGATACGCTGTCTGGATTTTTCCTTCAAGAATATCCAGGAAGCAGCGGCACGTATGTGTAGAGGGACAAGTTAGGCTGTGGGTTGAAAAGGTTGAGGCTGGGCAAATGGCTACAGGATGTGACTGTGGAGATCAGTAATACTTCTAATAACTGTGGTATGCATTATTGATCATTAGTCATAGCCTGGATGTTACAATATGCTCTGATTTTTCTGTATGTTTGAAATTTTTAACATTAAAACGTTTCTATGCTTATAATTTTTAAAGATCAGGATACTAAGATGCTACTTCCTAGGGCAGCCCATGCATATTTGATATTTTATCGATAAGTAATGTTAACAGAGGTCTGATGATACTCTAACCACAGTTTACCACCTCTCCTGCTGCCACCCTCCTTCAAACCACTGTTGTCTCTCCCTGTGGTATTGCAGTAGCTTCATAAAGGCATCTCGTTGCTGCTTATTTTCTCCCGACTTCAATCTAGGCTGTCCATACAACTGCAGGGATACAGTATTTTAAAACATAAAGGCGAACCTATAAATTATCAGATCCAAATTTATTAGGATAGAATTCAACTCTTTACTAAGCTTTTCTTACGACTGAATACCCAAAATGTTTATCCCTGCTTCTGTTCTCCCCAGAATGCTCTTTCCACAGCCCCCTCACAGCATGCCGGCCTCTGGTTCAATGTCACTCCCTGCTAGACCATCTCTGGTCACCTAATTGAAGTGACCCTCATGATACATATGCCACACACAGATGTTACCTTATTTTTCTTGATAGCACCTGGTACTATCAGGCAATGTGTATTTGCTTAGCGCACTGTTCTTTCTTCCTTAAGATCAGTGATTTGTTTAGTGCTGCTTCTCCAGAACTTAGCCATGGTAGGGATGTAATTAGAGTTCAATAAATATTTACTTACTAAAGGAATGACAGGTATTGCTCTCTGCCTATTAGATTTGCACATTAAAATATAGTGGCTAAGAGAGCATTACAAAACGTGTAACTGCTCACGTCTAAAAGGATTTTCTTTCATCTGTGGCACTGCCTATTGAGAGCAGGAATGGCTGGGAGGGGAGAGACACTGCATGCTGAGAAAAAGGCGAGACACTTGTAACACTATTCATAATTGGGCACGAATGGGGGAGTTGATAAGAAAGGACGCACAGGTGTCCTGAATGAGATGTACCCTATTGTTAAAGGAAATGCTCTCCAGAAGAGTATGTCATTTATGTAATAAACAGACTGCAGGTTACCCTAAGTGACAAGGAGGTTTGGCCCTTGAACTAGGAAGATGCTGCAATGTTTGCAGACGGCTACAGGCTGTCCTGAGTGTTGGGTGGTGGACAGCATTATAGTGGCATGGTGTCTAATATGCAGGGAGTTGAATTCCACAGTTATACCTAAGGTTTCTTACACTTTTGAAACAGGGAGTGAAAATATAAATGGGAATTTTTAGACTGGCTCTATAAAATATAATTTCTGAAAGGAAGAAGCCACAGTATTGCCAATCATGGCATAAAGAAAAAGTGTTCAGGTTAGAAATCAGAATTACTGTTCGAGATATTGACCAAGAAGGATGCATTAAAAGCTTGCATTTTATGCTGTCTTGTGTTACTGCCAGGTCTGCTCTTAGCCTGTCTTCTTGGTTCCCTCCTGGAGGCTTCCATGTTCTCCAAGGCTTCTTTTCTTTGCAGGGTACTGAAGGGGGACCTCTAAATTGGTGAACCGTGGTGACCCCTTCCCCTCAGAGGAGCTCGTACTCCCTTCCTGTTTTAGGGGCAGAGTTCAGAGTAGAACAAAAGCTTATGTGTCACTTGCTTGTAGGTGAGCCTTCCTCTCAGTTTTCTCTTGACTAACAGGCCTGGGGACATGAGACTTCCAATTCTAAGCCCAAGACAGCCTCAGGCAAACTGGGACAAGTTGGTCACCCTACTACCGCTAGTAAGTTTGGGGATAGAACTACAGCTCATGGGAAGATTCTTTACCCTTCTCCTTTTAACTTCCTGTGCTTTCTAGGATCTCTGTTGATGTCTGCAATAATTCTGACCATTTAATTATGTTCAGTGAATGGGAGTCTGTGGGTTTCTATTGTACCTCAAAAAGCATCAGAAAAGAAATCCCTGGTACTGAGGTTCGCGCCTCTCCTCTACTTTGTACCTTGATGCTTCATTGACTACTTGTGAATGTGCCCATATGCTCCTCTCTGCCTTGACAGTTTAGCAAGTGCCTGTGTCTTCACCAGAATAGGACGCGTCTCTGATGATCCATCTGGTGGTGTGTCTTGTGGTGTGCCTGAGTCCCACCATCTATACACTCCGCACTGCTGGCTGTGCGCCTCAGTGATGCCAGGCTGCAGTCCAGGAGCTCCTTGGCCTTCTCTGGCAGGCTTCCCACACTCCCAGCGCCTCTAAAAGCTCTGGAGAAAGGCATCCTCCTAAACATATAAGTTACTTTATTGAAGATGCCCTCTCTGGTATGACCACTTAGAAGAAGGCACCAGGTTTGCCCAACAGAGCTCTAGTTGGATATTCACTCCACCTCGAGTCTTTTTTTGCTGGGTGCATAATTTATCCAGCCACATACCCAGTTGTGCTCCCTGTGCTACTGACCAGTTGGTCCAGCTGCCAGCAGTGCCCTTCTGGACAGATTTCTCATTACAGTCCTAAACACGACCCTGAAATTGTCTCTTGCTGCCTTGCTCCTACATCTTTCAGCTTCCATCTTACTCCTATTTAAGCTGCCCTTCTTAACTGAGCATGTTAAAAGGAGGAATTGTGATAGTGCATAAGAACCTATGTAGGTGATGATGGCTATCGAATATTGTAATGAATTCAGTTTAGTGGATATATTGAAACCTACCACTCATTGATAACAGTGCTTTGTTACATTTGATGTCTGGTGGGCTTTGGATCAGTTTTTTTTAGTATTTTCTACACCTTTTTTTCCTGGAAAATGTTTACTCTGGGTTATTAGCATGTTTCTTTTCTTTTCTTTCTTTCTTTTTTTTTTTTTTCCAAAGATAGTTCAGGAAAGGAGTTTTATAATTTTTACTTTAGTCCCAGGCTAGAATTCATTATTCCAGACATCTTTGTAAAAAAAAAGATGAAAGTATGAAACCTGGCTACTTAAGCAGTAGTAGTTCTTAAAAGCTAAAACCAGAGAAAAGGGTATGGGAAAGAGAAGCTACGATCTGTTGGGTTTATGATTCCAGTCCTAGGAGCAAGGTGACTACGACAGGGAAGATGCATTTGGGACAGATGGAGAAAAGACACCAGAGGAGGAAAGAGAGTCAGACAAGCTGAACTACATTGCACTTGGATTCCAAAAAACTCATCTAGGCAAAGAGAAGCTTTTGTTGTTTGGAATTGCAGGTTCTGGAGTTTCAGTCAATTACACCCAAGTTTCCTTAATGGGATATATAATTATCACCAAGTATGAGCTGGCCATGAAGCTTCATGTGTTATTTTGTGAAAAAAAAATTCAATTTTATTTTGTAAGGAAGAACATATTATTGTGTTTTCATATTTGGATTACATTTCAATGCAAGCCACCAAGTGATCTGGGGGGCATTGTTGTTTCTGCCTTTTCAAAGCTCAAATGTTTACCTAATAATTCCAGCACAGAGCCCAAAGTTACTGATGAGGATAATATGACCATCAGATATGTATGATATCATGTATATCACATAATATATATTTATATAGACGTATAGAAAATCTAAAAATAGCACTGAATGAGTATATGAAGTTAAGAGAGAGAGTTAGCTTCACCAAGGTGGTTTCACAGGATGCTTTGGCTTAGATAATGTTCAATTCCCTTGAAACGCCTTTGAACTGCCAGACCTCTGCTAAGATCAAAACCCGTTTTTTCCTTTTTTTATATGCACCAAAAATAGCTTAATAAATAGAAACAATTTCTCTAGGGTGTCTTTCCTCCTTGGAGTACTATGAAAAGGATGTAGGAAACATTTGGAGAGAAAACTTATCTGCATTCAGAAACCCCATGTGGGGTTTGAGTTTTCACGCATGAGAAATGAGCCCGAGCCCACTAATTGTGTAATCACTTCTGATACCTCCAGGTAGCCTCCTCTGGAGAACTTCCTTCCCTTCTAACTGCTGGCCCAGGAGAAATGATGGGCCCTGTTCACAATGTCAAGCTTTTGTAACATAGGTGCACAAGACCCTCGGTGTGAATCACTTTCAGCATACTTTCTCTGAGGCAGCACAGTGGAAACAATGGCCCACTTACTTGTGTTTATCTTCTGGAGTGAAATGTGCTTTTCCAGCTGTCTCCGAAGTTTCACCTCGGCTCCATACTTCCCAGTGGTCCCGTTGTCGGCCAAGATGAAGTGGGAGTGCATGCTGTTGAGAACAGTGAGCTTGCTCATGGGATTGGACATGGTCTGGTATGGCCGGACTACCTGCAGGGTGTTAAAGACAAGAGGCAGACATCAGAGAAAAGGAAGCAAGTTAGGAGGAGGACAACCAGAGCCAGAAAAAGTGAAAGAGTTTCTTCGGTACAGTGAAAGTGCTGTCTGTGTTCTATTCCTAGAATTACTTGGGGTAGAAGCAAAATTTACGCTAAAAATTCCATTCAAAGCAAGTCAATTCTTAAGTATTTATTTACCACACACATACAGAAAGGAGAATTTGTGCTTTTACACTAAAAAACTGGGCATGCCAGTCATTGTTTCATTTTAAAGTTGATGGTTTATTTGCTAATGAACAAAAATAGTTTCAAATGCAGTGATTTTGTTTCATTTCCTCTTCTATCAGATCAGTACTGTAGTAGGCACAGCCGAACAGTTACGGTTCTGGAGAATGGAAGGTGGAATAATGTAGTCTATTCTGTTAGTCCTGTTCAGCTGTCTGAAGGTCTGTTATTGAAAATCATCACTGTTCTTACTACATACTTTATTTAAGTGTGAAATAAGTTGAATGTAAAATAACTGTTTCATCAGACAATTATCAGGCCAAAAATTATGCAACCTAAACTGGGGCAATTTCAGTGTTCTTCCAGATTTTTGGTATATAAAAAAAACTGCTATTTTTTGTGAGCTGGTTGTTTTATATATATATCATCTGCATTCCTTGCAGGAATCCTGCAGGTTACAGGTTGCATTCACTTTTTAGATGAAAAAAACCTGGGAAAATGAAAGGTAAAATAAGTTATCTGTTTTTCTCATACACCCAGAATTCATACCCAGGTGAACTCACACCCTCATTCTAAAAATTTATGCTCCTTTTCCCTGCCCTACTGTTTTACCCAATGGAAACATAAGATGATACGTCGGAAATCTACTTCTAAATATTTAAGAAGGAATTTTGCTCAAAACAATGAAAAGAGAGCATTCAACAGGCTTACTGGAACAGGCTCTCAGTATAGTTGTCGCTGTTCTGAATTATTGAAATTGACAGGGCAGAAATAAATGCTACTGGGTTTTTATTTCTGTGCCTTTGTGCAATATGTACATTAATTATAGAGTTGAGATGCTCTTGTTCTTTCTCAGAATGTAATAACTTACCACGAAAAGCTGCAGTCAGATTGAGTAGTTTGTTAAAGGAATTACAGAGGGATTTAGTAAGGGCAGCCTTCAAGAGTGAAGATCTCATGTAAGTCATTTTTAAAACCTTGGTACTGATTCAAAACCTCATGGTTCCCATGTGTCTAGAAAATAAAGTGTACTCGATAAATAATGAATAGGCAAACGAGACAGACATGCTTCTGTTCAAATCTGAAAAAAAAATCTTTCTGAATTATTTGGGAATTGATTTAATGTAATATTTAAATGTGTGTATAATTCTGCATTTTTGAAATGCTTTCAGTCCCATAAATATATGCCTATGTTTTCATACATGCCCATTTTAAATGTAATATCAATATGAGGTTAATTCATAGCTTCATTTTAGTTGGTTCTTATTGATAACAAAAAAGCCCATAACAGTTTCGATTATTGTCTCTAGTAATCGCATGAAACAATAATCAATTACTGCTTTGTTTTAGATGATGAAAAGGAATGCTCCAACATAGAGGCAGTGAACTGTATTTGCAACCCTGTCCTCAGCTCTTCATCACTGAAAGAGTAAATCGCTTAGCTGAAATTCCCATTTTGTTGCTGCTTGTTTTTTATTATAAAACATTAATTCTCCAGCAGAGTGTAAGTTAATAAATATTAACGGTTCATAGAAAGATGCATAGAAGAAAGATTTTTAAGTGTTGTAAAGTGCCTCAGTGTTGTGCTTCTGGGCAAAAGAAAATGCTTTAGTACTGTTCTCCTTTTATAGCAGCAGCTCCTGAAGATTCTATGTGAAGGAGGGGAAAGACCAAAGCAGTGGAATATTTGTGCTGGCGCACGCGTGTGCACGCGTGCATGCACACACACACACACACACACACACACACACACACACCTTTTTACTTCCTGGGAATCTACTTTAAGACTCTTCATGAAAGTCAAGCTTTCAAGTGGATAAAGGAATTATAGTGATTCTCAGCCAAGCTGTTACATTTACCACAGTCTGTAAAGAAGGCAATTAAATCATATGCTGATGTTCTGTATCTCTTTTTCTCATTACTGGATTCTAAGGCCATTGCTTCTTCAGTCTTGTGACTTTTGACCCTCTTTTCTTGTGAAACACAGTTCACCAGCTCCTTAGGAACATGGTATATTTGAATTAGTCATGGCAACAGGGTCAAACTTACAGAGGTGTTCTTGAATTCTAATTTCTTCATTGTAATGAAGGTAAGTTAAAGGTGGCCATGGTTTGGCAGATATTTTGTTTGCTGAATTATATTATGAATATAAATCTTAAAAATAAGTAAACTGTCCTAATATATATTTTTAGTCCTTTTGAAGGAAGCCGTTTTAAAAACACCCTGAGTACATGAGTCACAGAAATCTGTGTAAATCCCATTTCTGCCAATGGCTGTGCGACATTTTATTAGTAAATGTTTGCAGTCTGTAATAATTACATTCATGATGGAGAGCTGGTGCATGTACATAACACATGCTAATTCTGTTATATCTCCCCTTCCTCTCTCTTCCCTTGGTCCCCTTCCATTTCGCAAAAGTTTTATCTCCAGATGTCCTATTACCTCTCTTTTATTTTGCTCTTTATTTATACTTTGGGGTTCTCATATAAGAGAAACCATGCAATATTTAAATTTGATGTATGACTTATTTCACTTAGATTATGCTCTCAAAGTGCACCCATTTCCCTACAAATGTGAGTATGACTTTTTAATCTGCAGGAAGGAAAGGATTAAATCACTCATTTCATGGACCTTGGTTGAGATCCTATGTATGAAGTACCTGGCACCACCAGCCATGCTACAAACATCACGTCCTTCTCCAGGTCTGCTCCCATCTTACCAACGGTAAGCCGAGTTTGCAATTGTAAACCAGTGATCAAAACAAACTGAAACAAATCCTTGATTTCTTGTTTTACACCAGAGATTTAAAGAATAAGAATCAACCATCTGTTGGCAAAATATGCAAAGTGTTTTGTCATTGTCACATCCTCCCAAGCAAGCCCAAGTGCTGGGATTACAGGTGTGCGCCACCACACCTGGCTTCTCCTCTTTTTAAATTGATCTGTCACAGATATCAGTTACAGCAACAGACATCTGACTGACAGACTCTAGGATAATGTTTTCTGTTTTCTACTGGATTAAGACTTTATTTAGATACTTTGACTATAGCATACCTCTCCAGACATCATCGGCCATTAATTTTAATACAAAATGAAGTAGAACTTCTACAAGTCGAATAAAGCATCTTAAGAAGGGACAGAAAGAAAATAAGTGATCATTTCAGCAGATACCTCCTTTATTTCTATGAGCTTTTAAATTGAATTAGCTCTTAGAACATCTTTTACTATACAAATATGTTCTCTACTATATTTCAATATGTCACTCTTATTGTATCTATAAGCCCCTTGGTAAGGGGCTGATAGTCTGGAGTTATCTGTTGATGAACTGAAAAGTTGGAAATAACTTCGTAAGTATTTCAGAAAAATACATTTTGGTCTAACTTGCCTGCAAAACTCCCTTAACATTCTTCATTACAAACATACCCCCAGACTACTTTTGATTACCAGTTTGCATATATACAAAAGATTTGATGTCCCTTCTGCTGTGTTTTTACTCGATAGAAGTGTCTTTTTAATAACATGAATACCAATAACTTTTCCCTGTGACAAAATTTTGGAGGTGATGCAGCCACTTCCTTGAAGAGCTCCTAAAAACAGGCCAACTTTTAAGTGTGTGTTGGTGGGAATGACTGAGACACGTGCATGAGTTGTAGGTAGTATTGTCCGCTGTACGGCACACCTCTCACCCAGGATTTTGTGACAGAATTAATTCCTAATGCCTCATAGCATTCAGTGCTTGTAAATGGTCACTTTTTCATCATTGGAAAGATGGAGAAGACAGCCACCCAAATTTTCCAAGTTTCATAGTTTAGATAAGGAATCTTTATTGGGAAAGGTTAATGGTATCTGAGAGGCCTTACAATTTGGTAAATTTTCACGATTGATAAATATACTAGTGTCTGTGCCTAAAAGAGAAGTCTCAGAAAGGATTTTAGACCCTTACTGTTCTCTGGGCATCAAAGGGCAGAATACCCCTAAGTGATGGCATGTTTTCCCTTGCTCTCCTGTCTCTTAAGAGTGAATAAGAAAATTCTTTACTCAGTAATGCATCGTATACCATTTAGCACTGTTCTTTTGATTGGTACAATTCTAGTTGGCAGGGCTCTATAGACCCTGACTTTGAAACAAAGATGCCCTGTGAAGTGCAACTGGGGTTGTATGAGGGCTTGGTGGAGGCAAAATCCCTTTTATACAAAACCTGAGGAGGAGCGTCATCATATCCAGGAAGAGGAGAGTGATTCAGAGACCCTGTGGGCGCCTGAGCACCTCCCATGTGATATGGCGGTGCTGCATTTATGTTCCCTGGATGGGCTCAAAGGAGTCACACCGGAGCAGATCTGAGACACCTGCTGGTGTTTTCCTGGCCATTTTCCGGATGTTCTAGTCGTATCTAAGAGTATGGAGCAGAAAGTCAGCATGCGAGCCTCCAGTTCTAGTTTTTCTAGGCATTAATAGACCTGGAGAAAGTCTTTAAATTCATTTACGGTGATAAGAAAATATATATAGTACATGATAAACACGATGCTGGCATGAGGAGACATTGTCATGTGTCTAGGTAATATCCAAAATAATGCTTAAAATATATTTACTAAAGGAAAACTTTGAACCACAGTTTTCTTATCTGGAAAGCAGAAGATGTAACTAATTTATGAAGATTTCCCATCTGTAAACTTGAGTCTGGACAGCCTGTGTTAAAAAGTACACTTGATCTATTCATGTTAATGCAGAATTATGATGTTCCATGTGTGTTGGTTGCAAAAACCAAGTCATTCTCTTATTTCCTGAGGTCTGTCTTTCCATTTTACCATACTGTGAGTTGGAAGTTTGATCACTAGGAATTCCAGACAGAAATAAATTGGGTTAAATCAGATTTTTGTGCCATCTTAGCCTCGTAGCCTAGCGATTTGTGTATCAATATGCTTCAAGCTGCAGGACAGGAGATGTATGGTCTGTAGAGTCACCTCTTCCCTCCTAAAAGTGTTGTGGTTTTAATTTAGACCACAAGAAAATGAGCATTCACTGAGCACATCTTCTATGCCAGGTACCATGAAGGCAATGACTTCTGCGGGGTAATCACTGTATGTTTATTTTATTGGTGGAACTATACGGGCTCACAGAAGTGAGGTGTCTGCCAAACTTACCCCACTCGTCACAGTTTAGTTTAAGTTCCTCTATAAGCAGAGTCGCATTAAAAAGGAACACAGAGGACTCAATCTGATTTAAAATTTATAGAGAACATTATGGTTGGTTTTTCTGCTGGACATTTTGTTTTGCTAATGGCTTAGCTGGGCTTGGGAATCCTTCTGACAGCTGATCAGATTATTTCCAGTTGAGTCATCTAGAACTGTGCATAGACAGAGGTCAGGAAAGGCACCAGCAGGCAGCAAAATGGGGTTGTGCTTTGGTGAGTAAGAAACAAAAGGAGGGTTGAGCTTCTGTTAAAATCAGGCATTCCTTTCTGCTAGGGAAAAGGAGATACCACTGAGAAGTCGGAAGCAACCTCTGGTGTTGGAGATAAAGGGGCCTAACAGAATGAAATAGGAAAAAGAAAGGCTCTATAGCTCCTGTTAATAGAGAGAGGCCTCGCCAGTGGGGCATGGGCTGCTTATTTCCTATTCAGGCAACACAGTGGCAAGTTTTAGGCATAAAGCAGGTCATACTGAAATCCAAACGCTGCTCTCAGCACAGCAGTTCATGCAAGTAACTAGCAAACCCACGGACCCATTTCCAGAGAGCACCCGGATATTAGCTGTGTGACTCCCACCAAAATCCCCAGGAGCATCAGTTACGTCTTCTGGCAGCTCTATGAATATATGTCCCTCAGTGTGTGTCCTGCTGAGAGTTCCTCAGCCCTCACTTCATGCTTTCTACTTGAATGGACTCACCTCCCTTTGGCCCGTCCAAAAGGGGGAGACATGTGCCGTTCAGCTACTGGTAGTGGGTACAGGCTCTTAAATTATAAAAGGAGTCACTTTATTTGGCAATCATCAGGTATCAAGTGAGGGTGACTTTAAACTGTGTTCAGAAATTCTTTGAAACTCTTCCCTTGGTCAAGGTTGGATTCAGTGCTTTACCTCTAAGGGGCAGAAAAAAACTGATGGCATGTGACTCCCGAAGGGCTTCTCTTAGCTCTTTCAGATCACTTACTCTGAAGGAAGCCTGTGCCAAGCTGCGAATACAATAAAGCAGCCTCAAGAACAGGTCTGCATGGCCAGGAACTCCAACCACCTGCTGGTGAGTGAGTAATCTTTGAAGAAGGCGCTGCAACCCAACTGCCATCTTGGCCGTGACCAAGAGAAAATGATGACCTGAACCATCCAGGTAAACCGTTTACAAATCCTTTGCCAACCATGCTGTGAGACCATCAGTGTTGGTTGTTTAAGCCATTAAGTTTTGGGATCGTTTTTAACATATCAATATATAAATAATATAATTGTGTAATATCTTGGAGGCTTCAAAGTGTGTCATCTCCCTCTATTCCAAACAGATATGTATAATCTAATGAGCTCTCGTCCCCACTGTCCTAACACTGCCTGGCATTTCTTCTCTGTGCTCCAAAAGGTTCTAGTTCCTTTTCCATTGGAGTGGTAACTAAATCTTCCAGATTCCTCCCACTTCTCACCTGAACTCCATCCTTTGATCTGACTCCTGTGCCAACTGAGTGGCCCTAAGCAAGTTACTCATGCTCTGTTTCTTATTATTGCTGTAAGTCAGTGGAGATTAAAAATTATAACCAATTAACTGAGATACAGATGATTCCCCACTTACAGTGGTTCAATTTAGGATATTATGATGATGTCAAAGGTAATACTACATGTTCAGTAGACATTTTAGTTCAAACTGTGCCCCTTTTCTGGTTTAGTGACACAGTATGACACACAGTATCATCCTCTTCTTCTGTTGTTTAGTTCTAATGAGTCACCTTCCAGCCACCTATCTGATTAGAAAGGTAAATAACCAACATTGTATTAGTATACTGCATTCAATAAAATACAATGGCTACTCAACACTATTACAAAATTATCTCTGTGTTAGATATTTTTGCTCAATTCCAGGCTAATGTAAATGTTTTGATCACATTTAAGGTAGGCTATCCTAAACTATGGTATTGGATGAATTAGATGTAATAAATCCATTTTCCATTTACAATTTTTTTTTTTTTACTTACAAAAGCATTTATGGGTCATAACCCCACCGTAAGTCAAGGAGTATCCCTTCCATAAGGATTAACTAAGGAACTTTACAATGCAAATATAAGCTGAAATCATTGATAGCTATTATGGTAGAGAATCAGAATTTCAGAGTAGGTAAGGGCTGGTATTAGTGGCCTAAGTTTAAATAACACCATCAGATGACAAAGATACTAAAAGTAATTTCTGAATGCTGTTGTGAAAATTAAGCCAATTTATGTAAAAGTGACTAGGAAGGTACTGACCCTTAGTAAGCACTACAAAACTATTGACCTGATTGCCCTTATTTCAGTGATAAATCTCCAGGCTAAAACTCCTTCAGGATTCTGACACAAACCCTCTGCTTGTGTACTCTTCCCTCTTCTATAGTTACAAGTATACGAGAGGTTGTTTCTTCCCTCTCAGCTATACTCTATCAACTGTGGCCCCTTTAGAATCTATTTCATTATTTCTTCTTTATACTTATGTCCTCTTCTATCATCAGTGTATAAACTCATGTCCAACTTTTTCTGAGGGGGAAAAATATCCCTCAAATTTCGATTCCGTTTGGCGACTCCATGTCCCCTTACCATCACAGTTGGATGGACATTAAACAGCTTTGGCCAGTAATGCCACTGACCTCTGTCTCAGAGCAGTTGGATACTCACAAGTCTTTGTCTTCTGCACACTCTCAGTAGCATTTGGCTTTGCCCATCACTTCACCTTTCTGAACCACAGTTTTCCTTTGGCTTCTGTAACACTCTCATTTAGTTTCTGCATGTCAGACATCTCTTTGGTCTCCTTTGTAGGATAATTTATCTTTGCTTAGCCATTAAATTTTGGACATCATCAGGATTTAGGCATAGGTCCTTCTTTTCCTCCTCCTACACACTTCCATCTGGCGATGCCATCTACTGATGTGGCTTTAACTTCTATCTATATGAAATACTTTCACAAATGTGTAGCCATATTTTTCTCTCAAGGCCCTGCCTCATGTGCTCATTAGCTTGCGGGACATTTTTATGTAGCTACCTCCTAGGAACTTGAAAATCAACATGCTCAAATCCAAACAGCCTCCCTCTAGTGTGTGAAGATAACCGCTGCTTGCCAGCCCAGAATCTGGATCAAGTTTAGGAAACATCCACTCTGTCTTATACAACTCACAGGTTTGAGTGGGGTTTGTCTGTAACCTTTTCTTCTGACTTCCTCTGGATTCTGGATACATCTTATCTAACATGATCATAGAAGTCTAATGAACCTCATGCTGGGGCCTCAGTCGGGACATTTTTTGACTATATTATATATGAAGTCATATTTGGCTTGCCTCAGGGGCTAAGTTCCAAATATAATGAATTGATAGCTACATGCAAAATAGCAATCAATATTGACCTTGATGTTTTTTGGCTTGAAATGTAAAGTTGACATCAGAAGAGCAGTTTTAATTAAACGTAAGAATCCTTTAAGGTTACAAAGCTCAGGAAAATAAATTATAGTCAAGGGAAAGTAGAACATTGAATGGAAAAGTAATTTAATAACCACATGTAATGATGTGTTGGAAATCTTAGCCAAACATAATGTCTATCTTCAGGTTAGAATGAAAAGTACTTTTTCTTGTGTTTATGTCTGGATTTGTGATTTGGTGTCTGCTTAATCTTGTTTTGGGACAGACAAATGATAAAGGCATCAGAAACCGTTAAATGATTTGACATAATTTTAGTCAAGTTGTTTTCTAAAGTAAGAAATCTCAATGCAAAATGTGCTACGTGAAAATTATAATTCTCTTGGCTTTCCATTGGTGATGCCTTCATAATCATGCATTCAGGCTAAGTTTCTCTAGGGACAAAGAAAATGGCTCTGGTCACTCACTGAGTCTATTTGCAAGTTCAATGTGTAGGCATAAAGTACTTGCCGATATCTCACCTAACAATAAAAACATAACATTTAAAAATATTTTCTTTACCTTTGATATAGTTAAAAGGATGGACTTTGCAGGTAGATGGATCTGGATTCTAGTCCATATTTAGTTTACTCAGCTATAAAAATGCCAGTATACAGAATTCTTAAGAGCTAAGTAACTCATAGTTATATCATTATGACTATTTTCATAGAAACTATTCAATGATAGAGCAAGTGTTTTTATACTCACACATGAAAAAATGAAATTAATTTCAAATGCTTGCATTTTGATAGAATTCTGAAGTAGTAAAAATTTTAATAGAATATTTGGTTTTATTTTTCTCTGCTATTTGATATCTCATGCCAAAATTTTAGTTTTTTTATGTTTATTACATGTGAGCTTGAATATATACAATGGAAGAGAAAAGATAGAAGGCAATATATTTATCCTAATTTTTTTTTCTTAAAAAGCTCACCAGACAACATTTCCAATTTGATGTTTAGAAATCCCTCTAGGGGGATGTCCAGTGGTGACTATTTTATTCATGTCTCTCTGTATGATAGTTTACAATCATTAATCTTTAACCATCATGTTAGAATAGTAAACACATACCTTGAACTATTTCATAAGTAATAAATACCAGCAGTCTTTTTACTCTAATTTGAAATTTGAAAAGCAGCCTCTATTACACATAAGCCCAAGAAATCCTGTGCATATTCTAATTCACCAATTCATAAGGTACCAGAGTAGTCAAAATTCAATCGATCTTAGTCAACAATTTACCCAAAAACTACATTATAATTGTTTATCCTGTGCATTCTACAACCTGACACTTTTTTTAAAGACCAAAGGTTGTATTTTATTTTTAGATAATATGTATCTTTAAAATTAATATATTAATTATACATATGAATGGAGCTAAGTGTGGTATTTCCATATATGTGTATGGCAGGCACTGATCAAATCCAACCTTCTTTTTTCAACTTGGCTCTTCCCAATCTCTGGTAATCAGTATTTTACTTTCAGGACAACTTATTTTTAGCTCTCATGTATGAGAGAGAATATGTGGTTCTTCTCTTATTGTGTCTTGAGTTTTTCATTTCACATAATGTCCTCCAGTTCCATTTACTTTGCTGAATAATACTACATAATAATATATAAGTAATATAAATGTGATCTATTCAAATATATACATAAATGTGCTATGTGATATATGTGCTATATATGAAACTTTTCTTATCCGTTTGTTGGTGGGCACCTGGGTTGATCCCAGAGCTTAGCTGTCATGAATAGTGCCACAGTTAACACAGGTGTGCAGATGATCTCTTTGGCATGTTGATTATATTCCTGTGGATGTAAATCCAGAAGTGAGATGGCTGGATTATATGACAGGTTTACTTTTAGCTTTTTAAGCAGTCTCTACACTGTTCTGCATCGTGGCTAGGCTAATCTACATCCCCACCAATAATGTGTAATAGTCCCTTTTTGTGCCTGCGCTTGTCAGCATTTATTTATTTTGATGTTAGCCATTCTAATTGGGATGAGATGGCATCTCACTGTAGTGTGGCTTTGTATTTCCCCAATGGCTAATGATATTGAGTATTTTTTCCACATATTTGTCATTTGTTTTTGTTTGTGAAGTTTATCTATTTTTTTTCATTAAATTACTTGGGGTTTTTTGTTGCATTCCTTTTATGTACATTCTGGATAGTAACCTTCTGCTGAATAAACAGCTGACAAATACTTCTTCCCATGTTATAGCTTCTCTTTTCACTGTAAATTATTTTCTTTTGCTGTGCAGTGGCTTGTTTTGTTGGATATAATCCCATTTGTCAGTTCTTGATTTTTCTCCTTGTACTTTTTGGGTTCTATCCAGAAAAATACCTATCCCTCTTTCTCCCTTCCTTTCTCCCTCCCTCTCCACCACCCCTGTCTTTGCCCCCTGCCCTAGTGTTTCTCTTGTTTTACTTTTGGTAGTTTCAAAACTTCTGATATCTAATCCATCATGAACTGATTTTTTAAAACTTTTTATATAATATATGTTATTTTATACTACTGCATTCTCATATTACATAGGCAATTTAGTGGAAGAGTCTTCCTTTTGATATTTGAATCATGTGGACACAAACAGAACAATACATTTTTTAAAAAGTGTGTGTGGATAACAACAACAACAAATTGTCCACTTTTACAGAGGGACATTGAAGTGGACCCAATTCGATTTTCTTTTTAAAGGCCTCCAAAGACAAAAAAGCAGCTTAAAACCTAAGATGAATAAAAAAAAATTGTTTACCAAACTACTGGTCTCCAGCACCATTTTCTGTTGTTTTGATGCAGGTTAAGCTTTGTTTCTTCTCTTGCTTTTCTCTCTGGTCCAGCTGTGCCATTTTCATCGCAGTCTTCATCACTATCAAATTTTGTTTTCTTGCCCTGAAACTGTACTTCTCCTTTAGCAGACCCCGACTGTGCAGCTTTATTTCCTTTTCCTTTTCCTTTAAACCTGCGTCCTTTGACTCCCATTTCTTCAGGGATTCTTGCTGATCTCCTGTGACTTTTTTCACAGCCTCTTTTCTCACCTCTCCTTCCAGCACTTTCCAAGCCACCCCCTTGTTCCTTAAATTGTAGGCTACCACTATCTGCATCTTTGGCTTCATCCAGTGCTTCCTTGGCTTTTTCTTTAAATAGAATTACTCCCTCTTTTGTTCCTCTGACAAAGTCTGTCCATCTCATTTCACCATGATTTGAGAAAAGAACATGCAAATCTTTTGTACAGGTCTCATCACCTAAGTCACCTGAGAACTTCAGCAAGCATCCAATGTTTTCTTCTGTAGAGTTCATTTCAGCATCTTCTGCTAACTTCCGTTTTGCTTCTTGCTCTTGTTTAGCTCTTCATCTAGCTTCCACTTTATTTTGCTTGCTTTCTTCATTTCGCTTTGCAAAATAATCTTCCTTAAAAAGTATTAGCAAGTCTGTATCTTTATACTTCTGGCCTGGAGTTTCTGCAAACTTCTTAGCAGA